ATTGTTGAATATCCTCACCTTATTTCACTTGACATCGATTCTGCAAATATTTATTATGCTGAACATTTTCTCACTGAAACAAAAACACATCTACCTTGTTTAACTGAATTAAAAATTCGCTATGAAGGTTTGGAAATGGTGACAAAAAGTTTTACTAGAAATGAAACACGACGTAATTGTACTAAAGTGAACCGATTAATTGTTAAAGATTTCATAGTTTATCCGAAAGATGTTTATCATTATTTTCCTTTTTTGTGACTTTATTGTTGTTCTGTAGTTATCTGAATAAAAAAATCTGTGATGTAAATTAGAATTTTTTTTTCTTACAACATCAATTAGCAAGCGAAAAATGTTTGTTATTTATGAATACAAAATCTGCTTCTGAAAGCTGTCGTCAACGTGATTATTCATTTTTTTGTGTACAAAAAAGTGAGTACATTATAGAGTCAGTCAGTGTGTGCATCTGACCGTACATACGATAAGTCTTCAATTGGTAATTCCATTGTGATGAAATTTTGGACACTGAATTGTCTCATCAATATCTCGGTCGAGTTCGAAGATGAGAATAATGTGTCAAGAAATTGCTGAGTTATAGCAAGCAATGTCATTATTTTCTGCGCTTTTCTATGGGAACATTGACTTATCTCGGTTTTCGTAAAAAACTTTGCTCTCATAATCAAAAAAACGTCAACTATTATATACCATTCGTTAGAGAATTTCACGGGCTACAAGATGGTATAAAACACAGTAAGAAACAAGAAGGGGAAATCATATATTACAAAGATACTTACTTCAGCTGAAAGTGATGTCTACCACTTTATGAGTTGATGAACTGCAAAAACAGTACCCGCATATGTAGGCCTCGGCGACCTTCATTAAGTTAGATATTGCGACACTGGTCAGTTTAGACAAATGAGTCATCAAAGCCTTTCTTGACAGATAAGTAATTATAGCATGTCTAGACATCAAAATTATCCTAGCAAGCCTTTTTTCCTAAAATTCGTTTCCTATTTTAGATAGTTTGATCAAAACCAATCTGTCTCCAATTACTTTTAACTTTTTCAAGCACATATAACATTGAGATTTAAATCCGAGATTTTCACATTTCTACATCATTTAGCGATGATGAAAGTATTGTGGAAAACTATGCAACAATACTAAAAGTCTGGGTTTTGTTGGTAATTAGTTTTGCTCTGGGTTTAAGTGGGTATTGACGTTTTTTAAAAAATGCGCGATCATACAAAATCAGATGCAAGAATCTTCACACACCTAGATGATACAGTATGAAAAAATTGTTTGTTGCTACGAACAATTTTACAAATGATGCAACATGACATAATTTTAGTCAATTGAAACAACTGATATTTTTAATGGATTACTTGTCTATTCTCAATATTATCATCTCTATTTTTCTTCTTTGATAAAACCAATTGAGTGGCTGCTAAGACTTTTATTTTGATTTTTTTGTCATACTGGGGGTGTGGGTGTGGGTTTGGGTCTGGATCTTCTTTTCTTCCCTGTCCACACCCTCTTGATATAAAGAGGAAAAATTTAGCATGATAATCTTTTTTTGTTGTTTTATCAGAGCATGTCTTTTTTTCCTCTATGAATCTTTTTAAACAATGAGTTACTTCTTTTTTTTGTATATGTTATTCTTAGAAAATTGAAACAAAAGGTTTAATTATTTTCATTTTCTTTTAGATTGATCCAAGTAAACAACAAGATGAACATTGGCTATTTGGTCAAATTGGTAATGAAAAATAATGATTTTTTCCAGCAGTCTATGCTGAATGGATTACGTAAGTTTAGAGAGAAAAAAAATCATTTCATCGTAAACTCAGTCAAATTATATTTTTAACAATCATGAATTTTTCTTTTAAATAAGAACAAAATGATGTTCACTTAAAGAGTGATAGAAAAGTTTAGAGTGATTTCGTTTTCCAGGCCCTCGCCCTCTGAGAATATTGAAAATTTACTAGAGTTTTCAACAGAAAGCTGCAGTACTTCTTTACTTTTACATATAAGAGAATTTCGAATGTTGAATATTTCAGAATAGAAGATACTAGAAAGGTTAAAACTTCCCTGATGAATTAATCTTATTATGATTTTTGTATAAAATTCGAAATTGAAAATCGATTTTTCATGGGATATGAGAGAGATCACAGCTATTTGGTGAAAAATACAGTAAGATTTCGGTATTTCAAACAACAGAGGCTCGGAAAACCAAGCCATTCTACTCTTTTCTATTCCATATGTTTTACTGAATTAACTGCTGTCATAGAAACCATGCTTTTTTTTTCATATAGGCCAACACCATCAAATAATGTTGTTGATACAACATCACAATTATCCGTATGATGAATTGATTGATTATTGTTCGTTTTTTCATTTTATGATTTGATTTGTAGTCTGGATCATGGGTGATGACATTAGCAGAATGCCAAGGCAAAACAGTTGATAAACATTTATCATTTCAAAAAGGTGAATTTATTCTTGTACGAGAACAAAAAGATGCAACATGGTATAGTGGTCAGCTTAATAACAAAGTAAATTTTGAATTTTTATTATTTATTATTGAAAACAAACAAAATTTTTATTTAAGATTGGTTGGTTTCCACGAAATTATGTTCGACCAGCAACTGAAATTGAGATAGAAAATAATAAAAATTTAACAAAGTAAATTGATATCTTTTAAATGTTGTTATATATAATTATATAAGATTTTACCTAACAGATATTTACTAAAATATTATTGATAATTATATAAATATCGTGGATGAGTATAATCATAGTAATTAATAGGATTGAAATGGTGTTTTTTTAATTTTCTTAAGACGCTTTTCTACTACCATTAGATATTACCCCCAAGCATAATAAAAACTTTTAAATTGATATAAATAAATAGTTAATCGAATGAATATTTTTCTATCTATTTAGGAAAGCATCAATAAGTGAAAAATCTTTGAATTTACCAACTTCTAATGATCAATCATCAAATGATGTCGATAATGGTAATATTAATCAATTTTAATTCGATAAGAAAAAAAAAATATTTGATTTTTAAATGAGTACTCAATAGTTTGCCGTTAGTTACACAATCTTTTAATAATTTGTGAGAGTCTTAGATAGTTTTCTACTATTTTTCTTTTTGAATGTTTTCTTTTTCACTATAAACGATTTAATAATAATATTCTTTGTTTTTTATTGAACAAATTAAGGTGATGTATATGAAGCTATTTATTCATATGAAGCAACTGATCCATCAGATTTATCATTTGATATTGGTGAACGTGTTATTGTATTAAAACGTGATCGTACAGGATTATTTCCAAATAATTATGTTCACAAAGCTAATAACATACAAGAAACAGCCATTGCAATAACATCATTTCAAGCTACAGAAGAAAATCATTTATCATTTGAACAAGGTCAAATTATTTATATAACCAAAAAAGATGATAAAGGATGGTATCAAGGAGAAATTCGAGTAAATCATAATTTTCTTTTTTTTTCTTTCATTCTAATTTTCATATAAACATTTTTCTTAATAAAAGCTTCCTGATCAACCAGTACGTGTTGGTTGGTTTCCTGGTAATTGTGTACAAATACAAGAAGTCTATTTTCATTTCAATAAATTCTTGATAAACATTGGTCTTCAAGAATAATTTCTTGTACATAAATCTAACATATTTGATATTTTCTTTAGAATTACCTCAATATATTGCTATATTTCCATATGAAGCTCAACAAGATGATGAATTAAGTTTTCCAGCTGATGCTATTTTAGAAATATTACTTGAAGCTAATACTAGTGGATGGTTTAAAGCTCGTTTTGGTGATCAAGTTGGTTTAATTCCATCGACTTATGTACAACCAATTGATACGCATAGTCAATGTAAGTACAATTGAAAGCGGTTAAAAAAACCATAAATCTTATTTTTTTTCTTAAATTTAATATAAAATACTTTGACAACAAATACAATGAATGAACAGAATTTCACTTCATTCATACTTTTTAGCAATGTATGTGTATTATTTTTCTGATACTAGATTGAATTAAAAGACAAAGTAGTTTTTCTTCATTTTTCTATATATAGGATAGTCTATAAGTAACTTTACAGTCAAACAAAAGTAAATATCTGTTCTATTCTATTAGACTAATTATTTTTTGCGTGATAAAGGAAATTTGCGAGTTTAATTTTTCAGAAGATCTTCCCACTCTTATAAATAACTTTCATTTTTACTGCACTGTATTTCAATACTAAAAGATAGAAATTCATAATTAAAACCAATGATGATATTTTAAAGTAATGATTCTTAAGGGAAAAAACCTTTTAGTTTCCTCTATCACGAGACAAAAGATATTAGTCTCATAGAATCGACATATTTAAATTTTCTACCGTTAAACTACTTACGAACCATCCTGTATATTTTGCCAAATTTTATTCATTTTCTAGAACAATAATGATCATCATATCGAAGCATCATCTTACATGAAGTTCAATCAGAAAGATGATGATGATGGTGCACAAATGCAGATACATATATATATAAGCGAGCACAAATGATTATGATATTTTAAATTAACCCTTGTTGCCCTCTCACCCTTTTGTTCTCATTGAATGCATCACATTGTGTGTTGCTAGTCGTCATTATATTTTATTGAATACAATCACAGACATTTTTATAAGCAATCCACATACATTCGCATTTTATTCTATTTAATTTTCTTCTGTTTTTTGTTTCTCTGTATGTATTGGTCTGATTGTTATTGTTCATGTAAAAGTCATATCTCTCTTATATATTCATTTTTATATTCTCTCTCATTTTTCTTTTTTTCTCATCGACAAAAAAAACTTTAAAAAAAAGCTGTAATGTATACTTTATGCAGTAGTCGTTTGTATTTGTCAATAAATTCATAGTCATTTCTTTTTTTTTCTGTTTGTTTTTCCTATCGTTATCACTAATTTGTCAAAACCTGGTGATAGTGATGATTCAAACGTGGCGTTATTTATATATGTTTCACCAGTCATTAGTATTTTTCTATGCTTTCACATCAGCGTGATTTGATTATATATTCGTCGTCTTATATTTATTCTCCTCTATTAGTCATATTTTTCTGTGTTGCCTACTGTTAGTTTGCTCTCTATCATATATCTTTAAAAAAAAAAAAGAAATATACAACTAGTTACATATACTTGGATAAAAATTAGAAAAAAAAATCATCAAAAATTCTTTTCATTTATTTATTCTTTGAACAGAAGAAAATAATGTTCGAAAAAATGCTATCTCTTGTTTGTTGTTGCTTTCCAATACTGACATCATCTACAGCATCATCACCAACATCCTCTATCAAACATAAACGTCATACAGAGTATAAACAAAAAAAAACCTTTGTGATATCTTGTCGTAAGTCAAGAATGAGTAAAACAAAAAAAAACAAAAGAATTTTAAAAAAATCCACCAACATTAAAATTATGTTGACTGCATGAAGATAAATATATATATATGAAAGTCTTATAAATGCTCTTTGATATAGTTTTTATTTTTTGTTGTTTTCTGGTCTTGTGAAAAAAAAAACATCTTTATGCATGATAATAAGCATGGCTTCTTGTCTCCTAGACATAGTTTTTCTAAGAAACTAAATAGAATAAATACCACATTGAATAATTTTTTTCCAGCTTCATCTATTCCATGTGAACTTTCTTCAAAAATAATTCCATGTACACCGACAACAGCTGATTCAGTACAACATCCATTTTGTGATGATTCAACAATTACATTAATTGCTGATTCATCAACATTAATAACTGATATATCATCTCATGAAACATTAAATAATTCATCATGTATTTCAGCTATTCGAGAATTAATTGAAACTGAACAACGCTATGTTAATGATCTACGTATTGTTGCTAATGAATTTATTAAACCATTAAGTAATGGTCGAATTTTAAATGATTATGAAATTGAACAATTATTTAGTAATTGGTTTAGTTTTAATTGCATGTAATACTGTTTTTCTATTAACATTATAAGAACAAGTACAATATAAAGAACATATAGTCACATCAAATACTGATATATCTATTCGAACACCTCGTTCAGTATCTATATCAAATATTGCAACGATTGCACAAGTTAGTATTCATACTTTGCATCGTACATATATTGTTTTTTCTTTTCATTCATTTTCAGGTACCAATTAACTATGTTGATGATAAACGTCCTCAGTCATTGATTCCTCAAATATGTGATTCACCTCCTGTTCGTCAATTAAAATATCATAGTGGAACTGAACATATTTATCGTTCGCCATCGGCTAATAATTTAACAGTAATATGTCCAATAAGTATTGAACGTTCAGATGATAATATTGTTCCACAATCAACTCATTTATCATCAACTATGACAATAAATGAATCTACACAAATAGGTGAAATTCTTTGTTCATATTTACCATATATGGCTGATACTTATTTTCAATATTGTAATAGTCGTTCACAAGCTGATAAATATTTACAATCAAAAGCTGATTTAAATGAACAATTTCGTTCATATTTAAATATTTTTCAAAATAAAACAGGTGGTTTATCATTAAATGGTTTTTTAACAAAACAAAATACAACGTGTTACACGTTATCCATTATTAATTGAAAAAATTCTTAAACATACAATATTAAATCATCCTGATTATCGATATATACAACAAGCATATGAATGTGCACGTCAATTAAATGAACGAATAAATAAACAAATATGTGAACAAGAAAATAGTTTACGTTTAGATTGGTTACAACAACATGTTATATTAAATACAGATGAAAATTCTACAGATAGATATGTATTTGATGAATTAATAAAATTTAATTCAATAACTAGATTTCATAAACAACGACAATTACTTTTACATGGTTTTCTAATGAAGGTTAGAAAGAAAACAATTAAAATCTATTATCTATTTTAAACGTTATGAGACTTTGTTGTATCACAAATAATTCAAGCATAAAGTTATTAGTAGTCAATTAACAATGATCATTTTCGAAGTGATGCCATAGGAAATTTTTTTATTACACGTTTACTTTTAAGATATAGTCATTTGATAGCAAAAATCAAGGCTTCTCTGAATGGTTCTGCTGCTAAGTTATAAGCATTCTGTAAAGGTCTTCGAAATCGGTCAATTGATCACTAGTACTTTGGAAATAAATTAGTATTGAAGATTTTAGCCATGTTTATTTTCTTTTTCAAAGCAATATGAAAAAAAGTTGGACTTAAATTTCAAAAGCATCAGTTTTAATTATGTATTACGCGAAAATAATATATAGTGTCACTTAAAAAAAGAAAATAAACACCACTCCTTGTTTCAATATGGTCAAAATATTCGATATCACCTCATTTCAAATTGACAAATAGTTCATTGATCGACTTCGAAGTTCTCATAGAAGAATGTTTATAACTTAGCAATGGAATCATGTAGAGAGGCGTTGACTTTCTCTATCAAATTATGATCTTAAAAGTTAATATGTAATAAGAAACTTTCGAATAGTATTGCTTCCAAAATAGTTCCTGAAAACTAACGATACAATAGAGTCCATTAACTTTTTGAATAGATAAGAGTCTAATTTTAAAGTCTTGAGTCTTCTTGTTTAGATACCAAGTGGAAAAAAAATTATTAGCATTTTTATTTAATGATTTTCTTTTATTTTCAACTATAAAAATTATTTGAGTTGAAATCAAATCTACAATTAAAACTTTATCGATTAGTAAATTCATTGATTAAAATTTTTATTTTAGTCAATTTTTTCTTTATTTTTTAGCTATTATTATTAGCTGATATTATTGTTGCTAATGAAATACCTAATGATCAATTAAGTTTTTCTATTATAATGAAAATTAATGAAAAATCATTGATTTTAAAATCTCAACACACTAACATTCAGTATGATAGCGAAAGCAAAGCATAAAACATGTGAATTACGAGATCATTCATTTTATGTTTTCTCTTTTTTTGTAGTACATTATGGGTACGAACGATTAATAATGCTCTAGAAGAATATCAAGTAACAGAAAAATTAATTTTAACCGATAAAGCATTGTTTACTGTCATAAGTAATGCTTGTTTTATAATTTATAAATGATTCAAATGTACATTTTAACTATCATTTTCTTTTAATTTTGAAGATCATGAACATGATTCACAAGCTGCTGTTGCGCATCTTGTTCTCGTTATAATAGAAGCTCGTGATTTAATATCACCAACGACAACAGTTGAACGACATCGTAAGTATTGTTTCTAGTCATGAAAAAAAATGAGTACTTAATTGCTATATTTTTGAATATTTTTTTTTTGCCTTTAGGTTCTTTAAATCCCTATTGTGAAATAACTGTCGGTTCATTAACATTAAAAACTCCATTTATGAAACGAACAAATAATCCAAAATGGAATACATCTATACAATTCTCTCTATATGATTTTGCTAAAGATATTATACATATTAATATATTTGATAATGAATTTTTTTCACCGAATGGTTTGTTCGAAACATTTTTCTTTCTTGTTTATCAAGAGAAAAATCTGTTTCTTCTTCTTTCTTTTAGAAAATATTGGTTATACATCAATACATCTCATAGATATCTTACCATGTTCACTTGACATATTTCTTACTCCACCATTACAACCATTTAC